TGATATTGGTGATATTTCTTCGGATTCAGACAATGATTTGACCGACAAAAGTATGGAAATGCTATTAAAAAGAATTAAAGGTAAAATCTTTTCAGCATCCTTCTCTACCAAGAAAAACATTTAACCTTTAATTCTTTTTAAGAGCATTTCCATATTTTTGTCGGTCAAATCATTGTCTGAATCCGAAGAAATATCACCAATATCATATTAAGCTTGTACGGATCAGACTTGGAAGAAAGTTTAGAACAAAACTTCCTATAATCTTTGTCATCATAGAGTCTTATGATCCCCGCTTTATGGGAACTGCCATGACCAACGGAAAACATTCCGTCTTCATCAACGTTGTCACTATCAATCAAACTTCTTTTCCTCTTGGAAAGTGAAGTAGAGAATTCCTCTATAACCTCTTTTATCTACTTAGGAAATGTTAAATCCTACCTATACCATCACTATTTTGAAACACATGTCGTTGCCTTCTCATTATCATTGTAGCTATAGAGATCAACAATTGATCAAAGACACACCCTGTCAGGTACTGTATCCAAGTTATTCTCTGTATCCAAGTTCATCCCGAGTAATAGTACCACGAGGATAATCACCAAAGCCACCAGACAGCTTTATGATGCCAATGAAGCAAGATGAGCTATTCAATGAAACTCGTATTGTAAAGAAGAAGAAAGAGACTGATTCAGAAAGGAGGGTCGAGCCTCGACTATATACATGTAAGTTTTTTACTTTTCATTAAGTATTTTGATTTACTTTTATATAAATTTTGAAATACTAATTCAATATATATAATTTTTCATATAGGTTCGCTTCACATGCAGCTGACGTGGGGGAATTCATACGCAGTCAACCACCTAATGAATCGGGTGAGGCAATCCAACTTTCGGACGAGGATGCTGAAAGAACTAGATAAAAAAATTTAGTTCTATTGTGTTAGTTCTTTTTAGTTCGAATGGTCTTGTAATAAGCGTTAACTTAGTTTTGTTGGCTTAATGTGTTAGTTCTATTGATTGCTGCTTTTAATTGTTGTTGTTGTTGTTGCTGGCATAAAATGCCTATTTAGGATGTTTGGTAAGCTGGCAGGTGGTGTAGCTGCCAAAACAGGCAGTTTCTGCCAAAAATATACCAAGAAAAGCGACCAACTTTGGTCTCTATTTGGTCGCATTTCACTATAAAAAAAATAATTTTCTGGGCAATAGCGACCAACCTTGGTCGCTACCTGCCCAGATTTCTATTAAAAAAAATACAATTTCTGGAAATATAGCGACCAATGTTGGTCGCTTATCTTTTAAAAAAAAATTAAATTCTTGAATTTAGCGACCAACTTTGGTCTCTATTGTCCAGATTTTAAAATATAATATTTGGATTAGAGACCAAAGTTTGTCGCTTTCTAATGATTAATGATAAATTAAAAACAACTTATTTCATATGTAGAGACCAACTTTGGTCGCCAAATTTATATTATTAAATTAATATAGCGACCAAAGTTGGTCACTAAAGTCAAAATCAGAATATTTGGTCCTTTTAACTTAGAGACCAAAGTTGGTCGCTAATTAGCGACCAACTTTGGTCCCTAAAATAAAGGGACCAGCAATATTGCGATCAGGCATGTTTGGTCGCTTTTAGGCCTATATGCGACCAACTTTGGTCGCTTTTTACCGGATTTCTAGTAGTGTTTGTTCAACTCCAAGGAAATGAAATACTATGTCCTTACAAAAGTGCATGAATCGCTATTGGTATTATAAAAATATGGTGGAGGATCATTTGGTTGTTCATGGATTTGTTGATGGTTATACCAAATAGGTTTTCCACGGGGAAGGATTTTCCTCGAGAAATACACCTCATCCAAGCAATGGTGATGAAGGTTCTGCCATGTGTGACGATATTGAAGGAGTACTTCATGATACATTTAGAAATATAGAGGGTCAGACAGGGGATGAAGAAGGAGTTGGGAAAAGGCCATCTGAAGATGCAAAGAAGTTTTTCAAATTGCTGGAGGAAGGAAAACAAGAGTTATATCCGGGGTGTGAAAATTTCAGTAAACTAAGTTTCACTATTCGATTGTACTTGCTTAAATCCTTGCATGGGTTGAGTAATGTGCCTTTCTGTGATTTGTTTGAGTTGATAAAAGAGGCATTTCCCTTTGCTCAGGTACCGAAATCTTTCAACAAGGCTAGAAACATGATAACAGATTTGGGTCTTCATTATGAAAAAATACATGCATGCACTAATGATTGCATGTTATTTTGGAAAGAAAATGTGAATGCCGATAATTGCTCTATTTGTAGGTCTTCAAGATGGAAAAGTGGTTGTCCTTTGACTAAAACAAGCTCTAAAATCCCTGCAAAGGTTTTAAGGTACTTTCCTTTAAAGCCTAGGCTTTAGAGGATATTCATGTGTCCTGAAACGGCTGCTGCAATGAGATGGCATGCTAATGAACGACCCAATGATGGGAATATACGACATCGTGTTGATAGGGAAGCTTGGAAGGCTTTTGATTCTTTGCACCTAGACTTCTCTAGATATGCTAGGAATGTTAGATTGGGTCTTTCAAGTGATGGTTTCAACCCGTTTCGGACGATGAGCATTTCTCATAGCACGTGGCATGTTATGTTAATGAACTATAATTTATCACTGTGCATGAAACCGGAGTATATAATGTTGTCTATGATCATTCCAGGTCCATCATCTCCACGAAATGATATAGATGTGTACCTACGACCATTAATTGAAGAATTGAAGGAATTATGGGAAATTGGGATAGACACATTTGATGCTGAAACCAACCAAACTTTCCGAATGCGTGTTGCCTTAATGTGGATAGTTAGTGACTTTCTTGCATTAGCAATGCTTTTAGGATGGATCACTAAGGGGAGATTGGCATGCCCCACTTGCAATTATGACACATGTTCTCAATATCTCAAACATAGTCATAAGATGTGTTACTTGGGCCATCGAAGATTTTTGCCTCGTGATCATCCATTCCGACAAGATAAGATGTCTTTTGATGGTAAAGAGGAGAATAGACCTGCACTTGCTCCATTGTCGGGTGAAGAAGTATTTGAAGAGCTGCTTGAATTCAACAATATCTTTGGAAAGAGCTCCAAAAAAGGCCTCGGAGTGATAAGGGTCCGTGCAAAAACAGATCCATTTTTTTTCGAATTGTCATATTGGGTGCATAACAAATTGAGGCACAATCTTGATGTGATGCACATTGAGAAAAATATATGTGATAGTTTGCTTGGGACTTTATTAGAAATAGATGGAAAATCAAAGGATCATGAAAAATCTCGCTATGAGTTACAAGAATGGGGATACGAAAGGAGCTGCAACCAAGAAGAAATAATAATGGAACTATAAATTTGGCTAAATCTTGTTTCTACATGGAACCAAAACAGAAAAGCTTATTTTGTACTGTCATGAAAAATGCTAAATTATCAAAAGGGTGTGCTTCGAATATTTCAAAATGCGTGCAAGTGAAGGAGATAAAAATATTAGGGTACAAGAGTCATGACACCCATTTTATAATGCAATACTTGCTCCAGGTTGTTGTTAGAAAAGTGTTGCCCAAGAATGTTTTATTGGCCTTGATTAGGTTGGGAAATTTCTTTAAAGCTATATGTGGTAAGGTCATAAGGCGAAGAGATCTTGAAACAATGCAGTCTGAAATTGTTGAAATAACATGTGAGCTTGAAAAGATTTTTCATCCAACATTTTTTGACATAATGCCACATTTGCCTATTCATTTGGTGAATGAAATTAAGCTTGGGGGTCCGGCTCATCTTCGTTGGTTGTATCCCATTGAGAGGAACCTATGTTAGTACAAGGAATTTGTACATAATCGATCTAGTCCAGAAGCGTCAATAGTAGAGGGGTTTTTGGCCAATGAGTGTTTGACTTTTTGTTCGAGATATCTACATGATGGCGTGAAGACAAAATTTAGTAGATACCAAACTGTGGATGATGAGTGCTCTCAAAATTTGTCACCTATATTCCCTAATATAGGCCATCCAATTGGAAGTAAGAAAAAAATACTTTTCTCATGGATTCGCAGTTATTCTTTGAAGCACACCGATATGCTCTGTTCAATATTGGAGATGAACAAATGGAAAAGTTTATCGAGTAGGATAAATTATATTAATATTTATTTATTTTTTATATAATTTTTTCTTTATTATATGATTAAACTTGAAATGTTCTTGATTGCAGGGAACATAAGAATTTAATTATTAATCATAGTAGATCAAATGCATGGGTAAGAGCGAGGGATCATAGTCGGGAATTCAGCAATTGGTTTAAAGAAAAAGTTAAAAATATTGTATTGCCAGATTATTTAAGATGGCTAGCCAAAGGACCTAATATGATAGCCAAAAGATATACGGGATATTTTATTAATGGATACCGATTTTATACTAAAGAATGGGATTCCCGAGGCAAGAATCAAAATAGTAGAGTGACTTTATCGGCAACAACAGATAGTTTTGCTAGTGCTAGGGACCAAAATCCCATCGATGGTGAGGTTATCCATTATGGAGCGACTAAGGATATCATTGAGATTGATTATTGGGGTTGTTTTAGTGTTGTACTGTTTATATGTGATTGGTTTCGTAATGAAATAGATGATTATGGGTTAACTCGGGTGTACTTCAATAGATTATGCAGTACAAATGACCCTTTTGGGTTGGCATCACAAGTTTATCAAGTTTTTTATGTGGAGAATCCAATTGAGAAAGATGTTTATTATGCAAGGAGTAAAATACATGTTGATTTGTATGATCTGGAGGAAGAGAATTGTCCCAATATTGGAGACACATTTTGGCGGGAACCTAATAATGACATTGGTTCCTCATCTAGATTACTTGATGAAGACATTGTTGAAGTTTGGCAAAATGCCAAAGTCCCACATTGGTTGGGAGTTAAGTTTGGGGGGGGGGGTTTTTCCCCTATAAAAGAAGGCCTAATGTTTAGGATTGAAACACACCTCTCATTTGCCTTCTCATCTGTTTAAGGCATTTGTATCTTCTCTCTTTAGTATTATTTCACTTGTATTTTTGGAGTGGAATAAAATATTTGGTTGTGTCCGAGGAGTAGGCAAAATTAGCCGAACCTCGTAAATTCTGGTGTTCCCTTTATTATTGCTTTATTGTCTTATTTATTATTTGGTGGTTGTCATAATTTTTGGTATAGTAGTTGTGACTTATTCACACTCTATACATTTGGCTTCCGCAACAGACATTAGATGGTCAAAAGAAGATGTACCCGTTGATATCATTGATATTCCATCTCATGCACAAAATTCACATGATACAATTGTGGAAACATCGGAGGAGGAGGATGGGTTTGATGATACTGATTGAGATTGGATGGAAGCAGATGATTAAATAACAAAATTATGAAATTCTTTTAAGTTAATTTTATTTGAGTGAGTGATAATGGCTTTTTTGTTTATAAAAATTTATGACTATTTTTATTTATATCCTTTAGAAAATTATTCTGACATGCTTCAATTTTGCAGGATTTGAGAGAGATTTCGGATACTTTTGTTCGGTTGTTGAGGCCCGTCCTTTCTCCCACGTCCTCTTTGGTTTAGTTGTCAATTTCTATCCTCCATAAAATTATAGCAATATTATAGCTAATATAAATGATATTTGGTCGCCATTCTCACGCGGAATGGCTTCGTTCATTCACATTATTCATTCAACTGACATCCATTTATCTGCTCCCTATCATTTGGGTTTCAATACGTAGTAAGTCAATAGAAAGAGATTTATTTCAGTGTCTGATGTGGAATGTCTTAAGAAATTATAATAAGGTATAGTGCATAAGGAATAAGACATATTTGCATCTTAATTTATTTTAGAATGTTGTGGTCTCTCTTCTGCAATCGTATGTTCACATATAACATTCCATCACCTTTTTTTACTCTCAGAATCCTATATTTTGTCCTTTGCAAATGCAGATACGTTAATTCTTTCATAATTATGTTTATGCTTGAGCTCTTGTGTGGTTA